CATTTATGATGATTACTTTTTTATATAACAAAAAGTGATATAACTTCATACGTGTGGATCAAAGTTCAAGTGATCTGGGACACATCATGGCAAGATTACATTAGTTACATTATGTAATTATCTTATATTTGACATTGAGAAAGTAAATGTTCAGTTTCAGTCTGATCAGATCTTTGTAACCTCCAACAAGGAGGTTACGTTTTTGGTAGCATTTGTGTTTGTATGAGTCTTTCTGTCTGCAAACACAAGAGCTCTGAAAATTTGCAATAATTTCTTTGTAGCGGTGTAGAGTTAAAATTTGGCTTGCATGCATCAAGGACTTCAAGGTCAAATTAATGTTTTATTGGTCAAAACTGGTCAAAAAGCTTTATAACTTTGGTGTTTAGTCAATATGTAGAAACTAGTGTATAAAGATTTAAAGTATAATTTCACATTTGACTGTTGGCCTCTCAAAACCACCAGGTTGCTCTGAAGGTCAAAGTGATATTAATGCTATATATAACAATTAAAAGCTGTGTTTCTTACTGCCATTATTTGTATTGACAACATACATGCATAAAGTAAATTATATATGGGCGTGATGGACCGAGTTGAAAAAGCAGGAGTCGTCACAGGAATTATTAGAAAAGTAAGGTTTTTATTTATTTAACCCCCAAAAATTATATTTAAAAAAGTAATAAATGTTGAGCTCATAAAAGAGGTCAAAGAAACAAAACTGAACTCAGGCAAAGAACTGCGAACTCAACAAACCAAAAAACTGCCCACACGAACATCACTGACCTAAGCAGGAAATGACACACAGGGGTATATATAATGGCTGATCAGATCACTATGACACAACAGGGCTAACTAAACAAAACACAATCTTAAACCACATAAATGATGCAGTACAGTCTGGTTTATTAATAAACTAAACACCAAAGAGGAAACTCAAAACCCACTAAAACCCTAAACTCAAGTATTTAATCAAATACAAAATCTTTGAAAATACACTTTCTCCTCCTTCGGCAGGAAGTGGTGGTGCAGTCCAATCATCCCCTCCATGTATTTTAGGTGCTTTGAGCCCAGCTTTTGTCTGGTAACTCCAGGAATAGCAGGTTTATAGGGTTCATAGAAGGTAAGAAGCAGGTGAAAGAAACAAAGATTAGTCACAAACCAAACCACGAATAAGATGAATTGGTATGAATTAGGGCTGGGCGATATGACCTAAAATCCATATTGCGGTATAATTTGAAGCATGTGCGGTAACGATATATATCGCGATATATTCTTTTTTTTCTGTATAACATATTTTCCACCGTAAAAATCCTTTAATTTTCTCAAAAATCGAGAGTGCACCTTATATATGAATTCTGGTTGTGTTTACTGACTTCGAACCGATTTTATGTAATACACGGTGTGCAGAAATCTGTCAAAAAATGCTTTAGTACAACTTTGGTAAGCTACGAAGCCGCACTGCTTGATGGACTGTCGGAGCATTACGTCTGCCGTAGTAAGGAGCCTCGCGGAGTATCTGGGTCCAAAACTCTGTCCGCTTCAGGTCCCAAAGTCAAACGAACACTGAGAGTTAAAAACTGTCTAAATTCATTCATCTTCAATAAAATGATCAGTGTTGCTGCTTTACCAGGTGTAACAATTAAGTTTAACATCCAGGCATCCATAAAAACAGAATTTATTTAAATTTAACGGAGTTAGAAGTTAGCAGGAAGTTAGCTCGCTAGTTTCCACCTAAACATGTTCTGACTGAGAGATTTTTGAAACAAATTAAATCGTACAGCTCCGCTACCACTTCCAACCTAAATGAAGACAGAAAACTAAACAGCAGTGGCGTTTGTAGGGTTACTGAAATCTGGTATAATGTTGTGCTACGTGATCGCTAGCGACACAGCTATGTTAGCATAACACTAGCACAGTGAAGCTGGAGGATGAACACCAACTTTTTTCCACTCGATAAAAGTTAACGTGAGGGTTTCTGGTGGTTGGGGACACATGCAATCGCAAAGCAGGATGCTATACACGGACCAAACTTCAGTCAGGAGAACAACTCAGATAATTCATCCACAATACAAGGTTAGTTATTAATATACTGCAACAACATGGGAATAGAACAGCTGCGAGAGAATTCAACATTAATGAATCAATGTTACGTAAATGGAGGAAGCGCAGTTGTTGGCTTTCCCCATATTTCAACAGTGCTTCATCTCTTTGTTATTACTGTCGCCTGGCATAATTTGCAGATGATAGTGGTTGTAGCCGCTGCAATACTTTCAACCAAAACAGGCGCAGCTTGATGACATCATCAACATGCGCTATCGCGGTAGAGCGGTATAGTCAAAATCTCTATCGTTGGCCAAATTTATATCGTTTCTATCGTATATCGTTTATATCGCCCACCCCTAGTATAAATATATAAGTAAACAAAATGTGCGCCCTTACAAATAGAACAAATGTACTGAAACCAATCAATAAACTTATTGGAAACTAAAGTGTGTTACTGTGTTCAAATGAAGAAATAAAAATACAGTGGTCCCTTGCTATATCACAGTTCACCTTCTGCTTTTTTTTGTGCAATTTTGCATGCTTTTTTTTCAGCGCATTGTGTTCTGCTTCCTGATTGGCTGTAGACCATTGTTAATCAATCTCGTGCCGTGTCTCCTGTACAGCGAGGAATGCGTTCAGCTTGTCAAATTTACATAACAACAAACACAACAATGTCGACGAAACATCATCACCTGCGGGTGCCTTTGGTTCCATTCTACAGGGTGGGCCATTTATATGGATACACCGTAATAACATGGGAATGGTTGGTAATATTAAAGTCCTGTTTGTGGCACATTAGTATATGTGAGGGGGCAACTCCTCAAGATGGGTGGTGACCATGGTGGCCATTTAGAAGTTGGCCATCTTGGATACAACTTTTGGTTTTTCAATAGGAAGAGGGCCATGTGACACATCAAACTTATTGGTAATGTCACAAGAAAAACAATGGTGTGCTATGTATATATGTATACATATACAGGCGATCGTGGCTCAGGAGTTGGGAGGTCGGCTTGTAATCGGAAGGTTGCCGGTTCAAGCCCTGGCTTGGACAGTCTCGTTTGTTGTGTCCTTGGGCAAGACACTTCACCCGGGCCTGGTGGCGCCAGTGTCTGGCAGCCTCGCCTCTGCCAGTGCGCCCCAGGGTGGCTGTGGCTACAATGTAGCTTGCCATCACCACTGTGTGAATGTTTGAATGGGTGGATGACTGGATGTGTAAAGCGCTTTGGGCTCCTTAGGGAGTGGTAAAGCGCTATAAAAATACAGACCATTTACCATATATGTATTATCTCAGTTGTTCTCCTGACTAAAGTTTGGTCTGTTTACAGCATCTTGCCATGCCCTCAACCCTAACCACTGGGAACCCTCACGTTAACTTTTATCGAGTGGAAAAAAGTTGGTGTTCATACTCCAGCTTCACTGTGCTAGTGTTATGCTAACATAGCTGTGTCGCTAGCGATCATGTAGCACAACATTATATACCAGATAGTCCAACTTCAGTAACCCTACAAACGCCACTGCTGTTTAGTTTTCTGTCTTCACTTATGTTGGAAGTGATAGCAGAGTTGTACGTTTTAATCTTTTCAGAAATCTCCTAGTCAGAACATGGTATGTCATGTTTAGTTGGAAACTAGCGAGCTAACTTCCTGCTAACTTTTAACTCCATTAAATGTACTAAATTCTGTTTTCATGGATGCCTGGATTTAAACTTAATTGTTACACCTGGTAAAGGAGAAACTCTGATCATTTTATTAAAGATGAAATAATTTAGACAGTTTGCTAACTCTCAGTGATGCCGCAGTGTTTGTTTGACTTTGGGACTTGAAGCGTACTGAATTTTGGACCTAAATTACTCCAAGTGCGTGAGGCTCCTGACTACTGTAACCGTAATGCTCCGACAATCCATCAAGCGGTGCGGTTTCGTAGCTTACCAAAGTCATACTAAAAGATTTTTTGAGCGCTGTGTATCACATAAAATCGGTGTGAGGTCAGTAAGCACAACCAGAATTCATACATAAAGCGTACCGATTATATGGCGCACTGTCAATTTTTGAGAAAATAAAAGTATTTTAAGTGCGCCTTATAGTGCGAAAAATATGGTAGTTACTGCTATGTCCAGTTGGTTAGCCATCACCAGTTTGTTTATATCTGGAAGGATATTAATTTGGTTGGTAATTCTCAACCACTCATTTGACATCAAGACTTCCAGGCCATACTCGGTATAGATGTTGCTGTTTACTATGTCGGCCACTTGGTTATGGCCTTCCATGTATGTCCTGACTCTTGCACCCTGCTGTTATGTGCTAGATTGTCTCAGCATCATCTTTACACAGCCTGCCCCTGGGGTCTTGCCTGGTGTGGTAGACCCCAGCATCTGTTGATCTTGTGCTTAGGGCTTGCTACTGCCATGATTAATGCCTCTGTGCTGTCTTTCAGTCCATCTTTGTCCAGTCACTGGTAGGATTTCCCTACTATTAATACAAATAAATGAATACATGTCAAAACTAAACTTGTATCAAATAAATCGATTTAATACCTTGTTGCACATAAAAAGGCTTCACAGATAACAATAATAAAAGTGGTAATAATTATAACAACATAATGTTTTCAACACCTTTGCAACACTTCGACAGTAAAATGTTAACTATGTTAAACATAAAAACAAACCAACATATGTCAAAAGTAAATAAAAGAGTTAAAAGACTAAAATTAAGCACCTAAGATAGGAATAGTAAAATTAATGACTATGATATGATTCTACAGCAATAAAAAGTATATCAGAGCTCAAGAACAGAAGATGGGGAAGTTGCTATCTCTAGAGTCCAGAGTCTATCTGCCTATCTCTCAAAGCTACAATAAAACACTTGTGATAACTAGATGAGGTGCCAATAACAATAATTGTGTAACAATGTAAAAAAAAAGGAAAGATATTGCTGTTAAATAGCTCGGCTACACTTGAAAAATATCAGTTGTTCTGTTTTTGAGCCACAATGAAGAAGCTGTTGTGGGTCTTTTGTCTGTACATTTTTTGTCTCTGTAGTTGTCAGAGCAGTGAGGTGAATGGAAGGCAGGACTTCATGTTTCTTGCAGGGCCTCTGACAAAGCAGGTGGTCAGAAGCTCAGACAGAAGCATAAATGATGCCTTTGACTGCAGTCATCCCGTTCCTCCTGGCTCTAAGCAGTACTTTGAGTACCTGCAGAGCAGAGGGGTGACCCACTTCAAAGTACCGCTGTCATGGGCTCAACTTCTTCCTACAGGCCACCCCAGCCAGCCCCAGCAGGCTGTGGTTAGATGTTACCAGACCCTGCTGAAACAGCTGCTGGAAGCAGGTCTTCAGCCTCTGGTCATCCTTCATGGATGGACAGTTCCAGAGTCTCTGCAATCAAGGTATGGAGGCTGGGAGAGCCAGGAGCTGGCACAGATGTTTCAGCAGTATGCAGAGTTTGCCTTCCAAGAGTTTGCACCACTTGCACACTCATGGGTGACACTGGATGGTGTTTGGCATGACGGGCAGCCTGCACATGCTCCCAGTTTTCTGCAGAACATCCTTCAACTTAACAAGAACATTTACCAGATGTACCATCAGCGCTTTCCTGACAAAGGTGAGTCAAATTAACAGGAAAAAGTGAAGATTAAAGACAAAAGAACATGACTAAATTTATGTTTTCAGAATTAATCACTAGTCAATACTTGTTCTTATTTCTCTGAGGCTTGAGTTTACTTAAGGTTTCGTTTATATGTAAGTGTCTTGAGAAATCACCTGTAAAAATAAATTTCCATCAGTGTATGACCAAACTAAGTTAATAAAATCCTTCAGCACATGTTCAGCAGTTCCAAACAGTAAAAGTGCCTTTCATGCTTGCATATTTACAGGCAGACGTCTGTCACTTGGACTGAAAACTAAAGATGTGGCTTCTCTCTCCGACATTAAAGCTTCAACAAGTGTAAGTTTTTTCTTTTCTTTTATAGATACATAATCTATACAATAATATAGGTATAGTCAGAATTTCACCTCCTTGCATGATTTTTATTTAGGATCCTAATAAAATTTTCAGTTGTTGATCTTATTTCGGCAATAATCAATTAATCAATCAATCAATGTATTTATAAGCACATTTAAAACCAACACAGGTTTACCAAAGTGCTGCACATAGTAAAAAGTAACAAGTAGTGGTGCGGATCGATATTGAAATACCGATTCTTCTGATACCAGTAATTTATGTTCTAGAATTGATTCTCATATTAAAATATCAATATTTGTTTCTCAAATAAAAACAAAAACAAAAACAAATCACCTTAAAATATATAAAAAATTATGTTAAAAACAACAATTTCCTACAAAAATGGAGCATTACATTCAGTCGTGCAAAAAAAGGAAAGGTTTACTGTAATACATTTCACATTAAGTCTCTTCTCATTATGTCCCATCTCAGAATAACGATGTGACAACATGTTGTGTATCTCTTGTTTTAAACAGATGGATTTCTTGTCAGTGCACATTGACTACAACTGTGCCATCTCTTCAGAGTTTGAAAATGAACTGAGGAACTTACAGGTATTGAAATTGTAATAAGATGGGTTTTTTTAAAAAAATGTTGCATTTAACATTTTGCTGATACAGCAAAGCTACATATGTTTCATTTTATGTTGTAGATTTTGAGCAGGAACTTGCCTATCCTGATTTACGAGATGAGTGCTCATGATTGTTCTCCCAGTGATTACCAGCTTCTTGGAGATTTCCTAAATGGTAAATGTCATGACAGCTTTTTGACTTTGCAAATATAAGATATTAATAATTAATTAAAACTAATTTCCCATAATAGACATGAGAACAATACCTCATTTTATGAATGTGCAGCTGTATATATAAAAGAAACAATACGACTTTCCAGTGGCTGTCTTAGTAGAGATTTGTGTTTTTTTTCTACATGAAATTTGTACTCATGGTGCCTAATAAGCTAGTTACCAAGAACATACCAAATGAATATGTATACTTCATGTAATGTTAAATTTTTCTGTGAATATAACATCACTAAATAATGTGTACAGTGTACATCCTATCAAGAAATGCCGTTGTAAAACAGCGATCTGAAGATATTACGGGATGGCAGAATAAAGAAAAACCAAAGGCCACAACATCTGGGCAAATCCTCTGGTGTTGTTACCCAAACAGAATACATTAAGATAAAGTTCTAGATTTTGGGAGTGTTATTGTGTCATGAAATCTTCTTGTTATGGGCCAGTGATGTTATATAAGGCACCTGTAGACTTAGCCTTTGCTTACGACTTGTGCTCACTATTTTTCAGTAACAGTGAATACATATTGTTACTGAAACAGCTAATAGAGACCTGGTGTGTCAAAGAAACAGCAAGTGGGTTTTTATTTAAGATTAAAGAGGATTATTTCTAGATTTAGTTAAATAAAATTCCTTACATAAACTAAGCGAAGTATTGCGAAATTCACAAATAAACTGATTAATTACACAAAATTTTATTTTAAGAGTAATATATTTTTCAAGATAAGTTATTTATCATCAGTCATAAAACAATTCATATTTCTTGAACACAACACAGGCTTGATGGACAATGGCCTGAATATTGTGGGATGTGACATGGAGGACATGTTAGGCAAACTGGACACGGAAGATGCTCTTGTCAAGTAAGAGTTCATTTTCTGATTTATATGTACTGGAATTCTGTTTTTATTTATTTATTTTTTCTTATTTGATTAAAGATTTGCTTATATTTTTCATGTCTCTCTCTTTCCAAAAGTCATGACATTTCACACCACACCAGGATGACAGGGTTAAGAAACAGTTATCAGTCTGTGTGGGATAAATTTAAGTCCCAGACCACAGCCGAACGAGATCTTTTCCTTCAGGAATCATTCCCCTCTGGCTTCCAGTGGGCCACCTCCAGCGTATCCTTTAAGACTGAAGGTGGCTGGTCAGAAGGTGGGAAAGGAGAGACTATTTGGGACCGGTTTGGTCATGAGGGCTTGGCCTTTGCAAATCAGACAGCTGACCTAGCTTGCGACAGTTACCGTAAGGTAGATTATGATGTCTACCTTCTGCGAGGTCTTCAGGTCAACACCTACCAGTTTTCCATCTCTTGGGCCCGTATTTTCCCCACAGGGTACCGACAGAGCCAATCAGAAAAAGGAGCTCAATACTATGACCAGCTGATAAATGCTCTTGTTGCATCTGGCATACAACCCATTGTCACTCTGTACCACTGGGATCTGCCTCAAGCACTCCAGAATTATGGTGGATGGACCAATGCCTCCATTGTAGAGGCCTTCAAAGACTATGCAGACTTCTGCTTCTCCAGGTTTGGAGACAGAGTCAAGATCTGGAACACATTCAATAGTCCCTGGGTAGTGAGCCATGCCGGGTATGGTACTGGTGTGCATGCCCCAGGAGTAAAGGACTATGTGGAATCTTCCTATCAGGTGACAGTGATGTTATTAGAATACTACAATTAATCACTTTATTACAAGTGTAATTATTGCACTAATGTACTTAACATTTGATTTTGCATTATCAGGTCACTCACAATATTCTCAAGTCCCATGCCGAGGCCTGGCATGTCTATAATGACAATTACAGGAAAACACAAGGAGGAAAAGTGGGCATTGCCTTGAACTCTGACTGGGCTGAGCCCAGTGACCCTGCCAAACCTGAAGACGTAGCAGCTGCAGACCGTTACCTGCAGTTTATGCTGGGCTGGTTTGCACATCCCATATTTGTAGATGGAGATTATCCTGCAATACTCAAAGATCAGGTGGAACAGAAGAAAACCGCATGCTCTGACTCTGTACCAGCAAAGCTCCCAGTTTTCACTCCCACAGAGAGCCAGAGGATACTTGGTACTGCTGACTTTTTTGGTTTAAATCACTATACTTCTCGGCTGGTCAGCAACAGTGATGGTGGGTGCACCCCTGGTCCTGACGGTGTGGGTGACTTCCATGCAACTGTGGACCCCACATGGAGTTCCACAGCTTCTGACTGGATCTATCCTGTTCCTTGGGGACTTAGAAGGCTCCTGAACTACATTTCAACAGAATACCTGAGTGCTAAAAATTGCCTGTATACATAACAGGAAATGGGATGCCAACAGATTACAGTGTAGACAGTCTCACTGACACCAGCAGAATGGACTACATGAGAAGTTACATCAATGAGGCCCTGAAAGGTTAGTGTTGGAGATTTCCTCATTTTAAAGGCTCATTTTTTTAGAGAGAGAGTTAAAATAATTCAAATATAATTTTGTTTTTGTTTGTTCATTTTGTAGCAACACTCACAGATGGAGTGGAAGTGCAGCGATTCACAGTGCAGTCACTCATGGATGGATTTGAGGCAAACCAAGGCTACAGTCAAAGATTTGGTCTTCACTATGTCAACTTTGAAGTGGGATCCAGGCCAAGGACCCCAAAGCAATCTGCATATTTGTATGCTGAGATTATCGAGCAAAACGGTTTCAGTTCACAAAAAAGTAAGAAGTTTAAAGCTGCAGAAAGGCCATTAACTCGACGTTTAGCTGCTTTACCACCCTCAGAAGTTCCATCTCAGGCAAAGGTAGTTTGGGAGAAATTCTCTTCACAGTCAAACTTTGATAGAAAAATGTACCATTATGGCACTTTTCCTGAGGGCTTCAGTTGGGGAATTTCTTCTTCAGCCTACCAAATTGAAGGTGGCTGGAATGCTGATGGCAAAGGTCCTAGTATATGGGATAGATTCACTCAGACAACTAACACTATTCCTGATAATGCAAAGCAAGTGCTTACAGTTAACAGCTAAGACAAAGTTACGTGTGCGTCTAACAAGTCCACACAATAGCTAATGGGAACGAAGACTCTCGCTCATTCATGAAGTAACCATCATCTACAAAATGCCTGCGGGCTCTGAGGGGTGAGAGTCATAACAGATTCTCTCTTGTCTGGGTCCAGACCCCTGCACTCTCTTTCCTGATGGCGACACGTAATAAGTCCCCTCAATACCAGAAAGGTGTGACTACTACAACGAGACTCTCATTGAATGGTCTTAGTAATTGCGTACAATATGACTGAAGCCTTATACCATGGTAAAACACTAAAACACCGTGGTTAAAACACATACGCCTAGGGGATCCTTTCCTAGAGAGCTTTGCAAAAGGTCAATGGCTGGGAAAGTGCAGAGATGATAGACATTTTTAATGACTATTGCGACTTCTGCTTTGCTACTTTTGGTGACAGAGTGAAATTCTGGATAACCATTAACCAGCCTCAGACAATTGCATGGTCTGGATATGGACTTGGAAATATGCCACCAAATGTTGTGGACCCAGGATATAGACCATACATAGTTGCACACAACCTCATTAAAGCCCATGCCAAGGCCTACCATACATATGATGACAAGTATCGTCAGTTTCAGGGTGGTCTAATCTCCATAGCCCTCAACGCTGATTGGTTTGAACCTGCTGATGTCAACGTAGTCCGTGAAGTGGTGACTGCTGACCGGGCGATGCAGTTCCAACTGGGATGGTTTGCACATCCTATTTTTAAGAATGGTGACTATCCTGATGCACTGAAGTGGCAAGTTGGGAACAAAAGTGAAATCCAAGGTCTTCCACAGTCAAGACTTCCTTCCTTTACTGAAGAAGAAAAGAACTTCATCAAGGGAACTGCTGACGTATTCTGTGTAAATCATTACACTACAAGGGTAGTGAGCTATTTTACAGCTGCACTTCAGCCTCACTCCTATGAATGGGACCGAGACATGAGAGAATCAGAGGAACCCAGTTCACCAACTACAGCCATTCCTAACCAAAAAGCTGTGGCCTGGGGCTTGAGGAGACTCCTCAACTGGATCAAGGAGGAGTATGGTGATCCAGAGATTTATATTACTGAGAATGGAGCAGCAGTAGAATGGGATGACTTTGAAAGAGTAATGTTTTACAAGGCCTATATCGATGAGGCTCTCAAAGGTGCAGTGATATAAAAATATTTCAGAAGATATTTAACATTTTCCACCACTGCCATGACTGGTTGTTCATTTATTTTGTATGTATGTGTTTGCATTTGTGGTTACATTACAGCCAATAACCTTGATGGTGTGCGGTTGCGAGGATACACAGCAACAGCTTTTATGGATTCTTTTGAGTGGCTGCACGGGTACAAATTTCTATTTGGGCTGCACCACGTGGACTTCACAAACCCAGATCGTCCAAGAACACCAAAGTACTCAGCTCATTACTATTACAACATCATAAAGGATAATGGTTTCCCCTTGCCAGATGATGAGAAGATGCTTTATGGTCACTTCCGAGAGGATTTCATGTGGAGTTCTGCTTCAGCATCATACCAAGTAACTTATACTTTTACTGCAATTTTACTTTTACTCAATACTGTCTTGCTTGCCTTGTTTTCATCTTTTTAAATTTTTGTTTTGCATTTACTGTGTCCAGATTGAAGGAGGATGGAGGGCAGATGGAAAAGGTCTAAGCATCTGGGACAAGTTCGCTCACAGTCCTTCCAAAATATTAAATGATGACAATGGGGACATAGCCTGTGACAGTTACAATAAAATAGAAGAGGATGTTGCGATATTAAAGCAGCTGAAAGTCAGCCATTATCGTTTCTCCTTATCCTGGTCAAGAGTCCTTCCTGATGGCACCATTAATAACATTAACGAGGCTGGAATCAAGTACTACCAAAGACTTTTGGACGCACTGCATGCTGCAAATATCCAGCCACAGGTATGAATAATTGTTTTAATTTCCCTGTGTGCCAGAAAAGATACATGTAAATGTATTAGATTTAGTAAGACAGTCATTTTCCTTTCCTTTCCTTTCCTCTCCTCTTCAGGTTACTCTGTACCACTGGGACCTGCCACAAGCTATAGAGGATTATGGAGGCTTTTTGAATGAGAACTTTATTAAGCTTTTCAGGGACTATGCTGACCTCATGTTTGACCGTCTTGGTGACAAGGTGAAAATTTGGATCACCTTTAATGAACCAATCATGACAGCCAACCATGGATATGGCTTTGGAAGCTTTGCCCCAGGTATGGTTTAAGTTAGGAATCTCTGACGCCAGGTCTCAAGGGCCGGTGTCCTGCAGGTTTTAGATATCACTCTGGAACACACCGGAAACAAATGATTAGTTCGTTACCAGGCCTCTGGAGAACTTCAAGACATGTTGAGGAAGTCATTTAGCCATTTAAATCACCTGGGTTAGATCAAGGATACATCGAAAACCTGCAGGACACGGGCTCTTGAGGCCTGGAGTTCGACACCCCTGGTTTAAGTAATGCTTTGCATCTAATACTACACTGGTATTAACCAAGTTCTATAAGTGCTACAGAGTAATATAGTGTTAAAGAAAAAATGTTAAATTGTTGTCAAGGTAAATTTCTGACTGTTTTGAAACAAGCTGTAATCTTTATAGCAGTTCTTCAAATTTCTAAACCGTAGTGAAAAAAAGCAAACAAACATGACACATTTGCTGCCTATATGCTCTGTTTTTTTTCTCACCAGGAATCAGTTCAGGACCAGACACTCTGCCCTACATTGTTGGTCACAACCTGATTAAAGCTCATGCCGAGGCCTGGCATCTCTACAATGACAAGTACAGGGCCAAACAGAACGGCATAATCTCCATCACTGTCAACTCTGACTGGTCTGAACCCAGAAATCCTTATAGGCAGGAGGACTATGACGCTGCAAGACGTGTGGTGGAGGTATGCCATTTCTTCTCAGATGTGACAAAAGAAAAATTGACAGCAGTTAGTTTCAAATGACTATTATGTTTCTCTCTGTGCAGTTCTACCTTGGTTGGTTTGCCCATCCCATATTTAATGGTGACTACAGTGAAATTATGAAGAAAAGAATACGTGACCGAAGTCTAGCTGCTGGTCTACCACAGTCTCGGTATTACAAAGGCTATTATTAAATCACAAAAAGCTAATTCTGTTCACAAAACATTTCTCCTACTGAAAACGCTACTTCCATATGAACAGAATCAACTTTTTGGGATTTCCTTATCTGGATGATTGAGCATCCATCAAAACGCTGTTATTAAATATTTAAAATTTTGTATTCGATTTTCTAAACAACTTTATAGTAGAATAATTTAACTTTAAGTCTACTAAAATTAGTAAGTAAGTCTGGTTTTACTTCAATTTCTCCAGGTTGCCTGAGTTCACTCCAGAGGAGATTAAGAGAATTAAGGGCACTCATGACTTCTTTGGACTAAACCATTACACATCTGTGCTGGCATTCCCTGTGGACCACGGAGATGCTCAAAGCATTGAGGCAGATAAGTAAGAAGTTAACATTTGAAAAATAAATGTCTGCTGGGACTACTTCTTCTGAACAGCTTCATTTTTTTTATTCTGTACTTCTTTTAACTTTGTCCCCTGCAGGGGTGCCATGGGAGTTTCTGATCGTACCTGGCTGGATACAGGCTCCTCCTGGCTGAAGATCGCACCATTTGGTATCCGCAGATTGCTGAACTTCATTAAGAATGAATATGGAAATCCACCAATTGTAATCACTGAGAATGGAGTTTCAGAGCGGGGGACTGTTGATCTAAATGATGTTCACAGGATTTACTACTATGATCAATACATCAACGAGGTGTTGAAAGGTATCAAAGCTTCCCCTTATATGAAATCTAAAGCCACAAGTGTCCTGGAGAGGAAAATAATGTTTTGTGTGTAATATGGATGCTTAAAAATTGTTCTGCTCATTCTCTAAAAGAAAGAAGAATTTTAAGAATATGAAGGTACTTATTTTCTTTTCACAGCTTACTTGCTTGATGGTGTGGATGTGCGTGGTTACACAGCATGGTCACTTATGGACAACCTAGAGTGGACTGCTGGCTTCTCAGAGAGATTTGGTCTGTTCTACGTTAATCGCACAGACCCTAATCTTCCTCGAGTGCCTAAGAGCTCTGTTAACTTCTACACCAAAATGGTTAAGTGCAATGGATTCCCCGACCCTGAATCAGGACATGAGTGCCTGAACCCATAGTCTGAAGGTAAAGTGATAAAAGATTTGCTCAGATTCCTACTTTGAATGATAGACCTTTAAATTAAATGTTCAAATAAATATCTTTTCAGCAGGTTAGTTAGTACTCTCTCATGAACCCTCTATTTCCTAAGCCATGCAACAGTTAAAATAAAGGTTGGATTTACAGTTACTATCTGCAAATGTTCACAAACAATATGACAGTATTGTTTTTACTGTCTCTCTGCGCCAACAGCTGCACCACCAGTCAACATTAACAGCGTGAAATTCCTTGGTCTGGATCCCTCCACCAATGATGCTGAGACTGGACTTTACACCACATGATTGTTGCAGTAGTAGGGATGATTTGTGTTTCTGTTTTCTTCCTTAAGATGAAAAAAAAAAGGTCCAAGAATAGTGAACATGGGGCAGTATCGAATGTAGTGAAAACTGTAACTGCCAATAAGATGATGTGCAGTGTAGGCCCCTGTAAACAGTATTTGATTGCAGGCCCTTAAAAATTGAACAATACTTGAACTCCTAGGCTCATCAGACATAGTATGTGTAAGATGTCTTATAACTAAAATTGTAAGTTTGTCATGATTTAGTCAGTTATTAAATCCTTGTCCATCATGTATCATTTGCTTGACCACTGCTGCAACATGAACACTTGAGAGTCCAACAAGATTATTTAAAGTGTCATTTTATCCTGTATTTAAAAAATAAAAGTGATTTTTGTAATAAAAAACAATTTTCCAGTTATAGTATAGGATGCATAATAAGCCTCATATTTGAATGTTTTTGTATATGTTTATCAAAAAATCAAATTTATCAAATAAAACACTGTAAACAATAATCCAGTGAATTATGTCATGATTGTTGTTAAATGTAAGTACCTTCTTCCTCTTCAGATTTTTTGTCTTCACTTTTTTGTACAGTGATAAGCAATTTTTAATACTGTTACCTTGAAGTGATTAAAATTAGAATGTAAATCTAAACAATATATCCATCATCCATCATGTCCTGTGCTGGTCAACAATGCCATGTGCAGCATTTAAGCTAAATAATGATCAGTGTTGTAGGTTGATTCATTTGTTAATAAAAGTCTAAAACTGTGTTTAAACATTTGTTATTTAGCTATAAATCCAGTGGCCTCTTAAATCTCTTAAACCTTTGCAGTTTTTGACTTCATTTGACTTCAGCGGTCTTCAAAGTAGAGCAGTGTTTCACAAACAAGGAGCAGAATAACGCACTTAAAATTGTTCTTGTTAAAGAGACCTGATGAGAGTAAGTGTCAGGGTACTGTATCTGCTTAGTTGGTGACTCCTCACAAACTGGGCTGGCCTGTGGCTTGTATTTGTATAGCGCTTTTCTAGTCCCTAAGGACCCCAAAGCGCTTTACACAACCAGTCATCCACCCATTCACACACACATTCACACACTGGTGATGGCAAGCTACATTGTAGCCACAGCCACCCTGGGGCGCACTGACAGAGGCGAGGCTGCCTGACACAGGCGCCACCGGGCCCTCTGACCACCACCAATAGTTAACAGGTGAAGTGTCTTGCCTCAAACTAACCAGCAGAGAGCCCTCACCCACAACCCTTACATTAGGGCAGCAAACTGTGAGGATGAGGAGAAAATAGCTGAAGTCTGCCAGCCTCGACCTCCATCATTCTAAAGACTTCCTCATCGACCAGTAAACCGTCACTATCAGTGTGATGAGCCTGGCCCAACACCAACCGTGAAGACCAGAGCCACTCAGCCACAGGGAAACAACAGTGGAGTTGTCGCGTCAGGTGGCCACCACTCCAGCTGCCTGCCCCCCTCCAAGAACAATGCACCCTAGTTAGCCAACTCTGTCACGTCAAAGGGCTCTATCTGCACAGCTGTATTGATGACCAGCCTTGCAATCTCTGGTAAACACAGACCTGCTGGAGGGCCTGTGTTGACACATTGAAGCCAGTCATAACCCTAGGCACAGAGAATTTGTCTCTCAAGTGTGGCTAGAGGAAGAAAAAGGACAGACAAGCCAGTCACCAGGCAGCTGCCACCACTGCTCACGTCAGCCCCAACATCCGGGTCTGATAACCCTCCTTCGACTGAAATAACCCAAGCTGTCCATGACATATGGCAACACAGCAATGCAGGTCTCACCACTGACCAGCATCACTGGTTAAGGTGCCTCCTAGACGCGTGCGCTGCCAGTGACAAAGACTGCAGACAGACAGGACTGGTCCATCACAGCTTTGACACCAGCTCTGCTCAGCCCCTCCGCCTCTCCACCAACTGCCCTTCACAAAACGGCTGCACCGACCAGGTTTCCCTAACCTTGCTCTCTTAGCGAACAGGCGAGGGGAAGCAGGTTGCACAGGTTTATGAAGTGCAGGTGAGGTGCTGGAGGTCCTACCTAAAAAGGGGAGGGCCAGTTGCCACAGGTGGAAAACCTCCCAGGCACTCCCACGAACCATGAAACTCCACTCTCATTATAAATGGAGAACGGGTGGAATCAGAAACCGACTGCTTGTTAACGAGAGCTGCTGAGGAGCATGCAGAAAAGACACCTAGGCCCTTACTCAATTCTCAAGTACGCGATTTGTACAATTGGAACACCAGCGTACTTGATGATGTCACAGGTCCAGAACTTTTACTGCCATCCGCTCTTAATTTAACTGTGATTAATATGTTATGAAATACACTGAAATAAACCAAACATTAACATTTAGAAGTGATCTAAGTGACTTATATATCATGTTTAACCTGAGTAGTGAAAGACCACAGGGGGTTGAAAACGATGTGCTGGGAGTCCGCTGTTCTCGTCAGCTCTAGTGATCCTGAACCTCGCGGTCTGCTATGGAGCTGGTGGGTAACAGACGTCTCTGAAAATGTCAGAGCACATTTGGAAATATATGATATCTTGATAAATCGAGCAAATATTTGAAGCTTACACAGCTACATTCTCGGGTGGTAAAAATAACATAAAAGTTTATTTTGTGACCCAGAAAGAGTAATATTTAAAGGTTTTTAACGGCGCTCCTCCGCCATTGCCACGTTTGGGTTTTGGACAAAATGCAGTCTGTGATATTTAGCTGTACCAAGTACACACAAGTCACCACCGATGCATGCTTGATAAAACCGGCGGAGCGAGTACACATCTGGGAATTTTTCGCGTTCTCAGCTTGAATTGAAACAGTACTTGGTCTCCGACTGATTACGTATCACGAGTACACGAGAATGCAAGTACATACAAGTACGCATATTGAGACAGGCCCCTTCTGTGTGTTAATGCCTACATCCTGTTGAGATGAGGTGGGTCATCCTGGAGACCAGATGTAGGCATCTTCACAGGTGTGAGCAAAGAAATGGTGTATGTTTGTTCCTGGATGTGTGGATTACACACAAACGAGAAATGCCTGAAAAACAGGTGTTTCTCTATAATTATTTTAGTCAGAGGTCATTGGCCTAAAAGCCGGCCTTTAAAGTTGCTGGTTTGACCCAGTGACCCATTCTTGAAAATACTGTAAGTAAAACTGTCAGGTGTGTAGTCAGGACCCCAACACAGGACTCTCGATATAGAACACAGTGTTTACAGTAAACACTGTGGACTCTGTAAACATTTTACAGTGTTTACAGTGAAGTGATAACAAGATACAGATAAATCACTGTGTGTGCTCCTGGTGAGTGTCTATTCCCGATTCCCGTGTGGTATCTTCTCCTAGTGTCCGTGGTCCGTGTTTCCACTCTCTTGGTGGCTATATACAATGTGCTCGCTTCATCTTCTCGTTTCCGCAACTCTCCTGGAAACCACAGAGTAACTTCCATACTGGCGGTAAACTCTCAAACATACAGTTAACTGCGAAACTGAAGAATGTTATCACAACGATCCAGCGTTGACTGGAGCACAACAGCCACTCGGTTGAGTAGCTCCCAAGATGAGGCTGATCAGCACCAGGTGTGTGTGATTATGCCTCAGGTGTCACGGTGGGAAGAACCACCCTTCAGGCTTGGATCCCAGGAAAACCAGGTCAATAGATTGAGCAAGCGGCCCCTCCCTGGGGCCAGCTCCCCCGCTGACCCCAGTAGGCACCCCCATACTCCGCAACCCACCAGGGAAGGGGGCCCAGGCCCATCCGGACCGGGGCCCGCAGCAGCAGCACCGCCCAGCCCCACAGAGTCCGGGGCAGCCACGACTCCACCCCAGAGAAAACTGCACCCACCCCATCATCCAATCATCTCCCAAACTACACAAGACAATAGACACCCAGGTTGAGTTCATTCTCTACCTCTCCTATATCTCTCCCCCACCTGCAGAGTGAGCTCCTGTAGAGAGGAGACCACCTGCAAAGATATAACAGCCTCCCCACCAGTTAGAGAGCCCCCTAGTTGGGCCGATGCACCAGAGGTCCCCTGCACTGGGGCTGAGCCCCCCTGCACCCACCCGCCCACAGCTCCGGCGACACAACAGCCAGGACCCAAGCCAATATTTGGCATTATTGTTTGTTTCATCCATTTCACATCTATGAAATGGATGAAACACATCGTGACTGGGTTCCAGCGCTACACAAGGACCTGCTTCAAACATACCACCATGCCAATCAGATTACTTCTTCCATGTGAGGGTGAAGAGGTGACCCTTCTGGATAAGATGGTGAAGGTTTGCTGCGTTTGGTGAACAGTGTGATAATAAAACCAGGGAAAAATGAAACCTGCTCCTGTTAAATATTCTTAAGTCTTGTGCTGTTATTTTTTCAAAAGATACAGTAAATAAAGTAATGTTAGTAGTGGGTGATATCATGTAAACACTCATGATTTTGTGTAAACATTTTGTCATTTGTAAACTATAAATGACATGGATTCTACATTGTAACTGATGTGATGTTCTATAAGGTGGTTTTAATAAAAAAAGAGGCAAAAATTAGTTTGTTTCTTTATTCAACTTTTGAACAGTGGTACTCAGTCAGTACATATTCAGTAAATGCAAATTATTTACATGGCAGTGCACTCAGGCATAAATCTAGACCCCTAATAAAACATTATGGGTCATTCCCACAACCCACAGCTTTACTGTGTTCCAGCAAAGTATCCAATAGCAGTGACAACTCCTCCACATAGCAGGTGGTATTTTTCTTTTTTGAGGACGGCTCCTTTTACCTTTCAATATGGGTGGTCTGTTTATGTTTTGAGCAGGAGCCTTTTTTTGTGCAGCTGAAGAGAAGTCTATCTTATGGCCAACCTCTGGCTGTATCTTGGTCATATTACCCAGGAAAACCCAGTATGCAGGTTCATCTGTAACAGTCCTTGTGCCACGGATCCGGACTGTTGCTTCTACTTGAAACAGAAGAGCAGCGACATGGGTGCAGGTCTCCGCGACTCCGGCCATGCAGGTGCAGTGGGCAGCTTCAACCGTCCTGCAATGCTGGTTCATTCAATCTTTGAGAGTGCAGTACCTGAAACACACACAGACAAAGTTAATCTAGAGACAAGAACTAATGAGACAAGGCCGACACAAATGTGTTTTATCTACTTTATCATAAATGTAACAAAGTGTTTAGAAAGTTAGCCAATACATGTAATTTTTCATTTCTTTATGTGTCCATCTATAGAACGCTGCATGTTATATTCTAAATCTGCCTGTTCTCTGTCAGAAACCTGCCTGCAGAAAATGAACCTAAAGTATGTAATGCAAGGATGTAATCACTATCAAGCTGGAGAAAGCATAAAGTGACAATTATTAATCACTTAATATGATAAGGAGATTCTGCAGGTCATTAATCAATGTCTAAAACTAAAATAAAAATGTATTTTTAGTGACACAGGATACAAACATGGAAGCACGATGTATAATTAGAATTATTTATAATAAATATGAGTAAATCATTGCAATTTCTTTAACCATAAAGAATAACTAAATCCTTCAGGACAATGTCACATCAATGCACTGTGTTATCCCTCTAACAGAGCCTCCACATGTTCTCACTGTAATTTGCGTGAATGAATGAATTTATGCTGCACTAATCTGAATGTTCAGAGGGAAATCAAACGCATTTCACTCGCAGTACTCAAGCTGACTTTGTTTGAATAATGACTTTTACACGCTGACTCCACAGACAA